GGAAATTAGGGTTAATGTGATAGGTGGTGGGTCCCACATGTTGGTGTATTCATGGAAAATGTCTAAATTACCTTGGTAAAATCTATCTATTTGACCATGATATGTTTATTTATTTACTATATTGTCATTAATGATTGACAATTATTTATTAAATTTTGACTTGATCATGACCATTGACATGATATATTCAATGGCCCAAATTCATTATTATTTCTTTCATTATGCTCCTTTCTCATTTGAGCGCACTCCTCATAAAAGTTATACAAAAGAATACATTATCTATTCCATTTTTCTCTATGTTCTGTAACAAATCGAATGGTTCAACAGTGTATAAACCAGGGTGTATTAGTTAATTAATTATTTTAATTGTTCTTAAAAAGCAGCACTTGCAATATAAATCATTAGCTAATTGAAGCACATTGAGGAATTTATCTACTGGGATTTTAATGTCGATGCACATTAAATGTGAACAATGGAGTGAATGGTGAATCAGATAAGCACCATTTACTATAAAGCTTGTACCTTCCACAGTATTTACTAAAATTAAGTTTGGTATAATATAATGAATGACAAAACTAAAGCAAGGAGAAACCCACCCCCAGCTCAAATACCCTTTTCAGGCTTTTTGCTGGTTTTGGCTTTCTCTCACATACCACACACAGTGATGGTGTGAGAGAGGTATGTGGGAAATGTTTTGTGCCAACAGAATGAAAACACAGAAATGCAAATGTTAAAAAAAAAAAAAAAATGGGAAATGAAGGTGGAGCGAGTATGTGTGAGAGAATTTTGTGCTGCTAATATTGCAAATAAATCTGAAAATGAGGTGTTGATCAACCCACAAAACTCTCATCCACCTTGCCTCTTCTATTGCCATCTAATCCTCTACTAAAAATGTGATTTTTGCTTTTATTTTTGTTAAATTTGGTTTTCAAATTTGCATTTCCTTGTACATTTTTCTCTCTCTTTATCTAGAATTTCACTCACTCTATATCTCTCCTCTCACCTATCTCTTTCTCTGTGTGTGAACAGGCGGATCTTGGTGTCATTTTCATCTAATTCTTCGCTCATCAAACAATAGGGTTTCCTGGTTTTGCTTTCTATTTCTTTTTTAGCTAAATTTCCTTTTTCCATCTCGAAAACAAAAATTAAGCTTTGCTGGCTTGGCATTTCTCATTGTTTTGATTCTGTCTGCCCTTCAACAGAATTTTAGCTTGTATCGTAGGTTCCTGTTTTGAGAGCATAATCTGAGGCCAGATTTGAGTTTTCAGAGCTTCTTTATCTCATTTTTCATTTCTTCCATACGCAAGAAATTCCCATTTTCCAAAAATAAAAATAAAAATAAATCTGGGCTCTTGGATAATGTATATCTAAGCTTTTCAGGGACTGATTCGATTTCAGCTGAGGTTGATTCGTCATAAATAAAGGTAGTGAATTTGCATGAGAAAAGTTCTACTTGAGAGTAATTTCTCCCTTTTGTTTTTTCAATTAATGTTCTCTGCATACTCGTTTTTGTGAATAAATGCTGTTTTTTCTTGGTGAATGCAGATGATATTTTATGTTTACTTACTACCCATGGATGATTGGACACTTTTTTTCTTCCTTCCGTACTTTCTTTCTTCGTTCTTTCTTTCTTCTTTCATTCTTCTATTTTTTTTTTATTTCTTTTGTGTTTTGAGATCTTGGCCAAATATGATCTAAAATTGTTACCCAGCTAAATATTATATATTCTTGATAGTAAATCAAGTTTCTATCTTTAGAGTGTCCCAATTCTCAGTGTTTTAGAATCATTGAATAATCTCTTTTTTCCTCTTTTCCTTTTTGTCTACAGTGAGGCTTTCACTCTGTATGCATGAAGTATTTTTTGTCTTCTGTTCTTCTGTGCACAAGTAATGGATTAGTTCTTCATTGTTATCAGTAGATAATTGTGAATGATAGATTGTCTTAATTCTTTTGACTTAATTATATGAGGTCATGTTTCTGACTGCATGTAGTCTTTGATAATCGTATCAAACCTTGAACGCATATTAGCATTTTGTCTTCACTGCAGCAGCGATGTATTATTATTTCAAAGTTTTAGTAATGCGCAATTGAGTTGTTTGTAATATTTGGTTGTTTGCCTGTTTCACTAGACGTTCACGATTATTGTATTCACTCATCCTCATAATTGTTGGTCTAAGTATTTTTCATTAGTTGTTGGATGATTCAAATCTTCTTTCTTGCCTTTTCTTTTGTGAATTGCATACATTACCAGGCGTTATTTGTGGCTTGTGTTCTGTTTTCACATTGGTGGCTTTGGATTGCATTTTGGGTTTTTGTCAGCTTGACTTGTGGGAGTTAGTTAAAGGGACGGCTTGTAAGATTTCTTGGAACTGTAGTTTATGTTCTGTAAATTGACTTTCCATAGTGTACTGGAGAATGTGATTGGTCTGTCAAAAACATAATTTTTTTGTCGCTTGTCAACGCATGTTATCTCGTACACATTATTCCGGATAAAGTTCTCAGCGTCATCTATTGTCCCTATCGCAAAATATTCACTTCTTCCTCATTTCAACAATTATTTCCCAAAAAGAACACGATATGAACATGTGATGACCATGCATTTTGTCGTGTTCGAACCCATAAACGCGCCCATAATTGATATTTCTTCTTCTTTTATCTATATCTTCGTCTTTTTATTCTTTAATAAATTTTGACAAATTAGGAGAAGAGTATGACAAGCGAAAGTGATGAGAAGTTGATGGTGACTAACAGCATGGATTCCCCATCCATCGACGAAGCCAACAGCGGAGGGGCAAATGCGGAAAATCACAGCTCACTTAAAAAGGGCCCATGGACCACTGCAGAGGACGCGATTCTAATTGAATATGTGACAAAGCACGGGGAAGGAAACTGGAATGCAGTCCAAAAGCACTCTGGCCTGGTCAGATGTGGGAAAAGCTGCCGTCTTAGGTGGGCGAATCACTTGAGACCGGACCTAAAGAAAGGAGCTTTTACCCCTGAGGAGGAGCGCCATATAATTGAGCTTCACGCCAAGATGGGAAATAAATGGGCCCGAATGGCAGCTGAGGTATATATGTCAGCTTTTTTTGGGCATTTCTTTCTTTAGCATGTGTCTATATGCAGTAGTTAATAGACTAGCTGTGTGCATTGTTAGTCGAAAATGATTTAAAAGGTGAAGTCTTCCCCTGAGAACGAATGGTTTATGTGCAAGTGAGTGAACTTTATTATGACATGCAGTTTCTGTTCCGAAAAATAGTTCATCAGGTGAATTTGGTGGGCGGTTTTGGAAATGAAAAAAAAAAAAGTGAAGTTCAGTTTTCCCCCGCGNACCTCCTATTTTTTTTTTTTTTAAATGTCATTTTGACAATTAGTCAAATAAATGACGTTTTGGATCTTTTGTACATATTTTTCCATGATTACCCTCATCTAGCTAACAAATACACTACTGTCTTTTCATATTCACTCTTCATCTTTTCTCAAAACATCCATCTCGATCCTCATTAATGAGGGTTATTATTGACAAAAAAAAGCTGTGCAACTTCTCAAAACGACACTTATTAAAAATAGGAGGGAGTATTATAGATTTGGTGAACATGGCCATCCCTGCTGCTAGAAGTCTAAAATTTTAGAATTTTTGGAGATCGTTTGTTAGGTGAACTAAAAAATCGGTACTTTGACCTATATCGGTAATTTTTGGAAGTTATGTTCGCATAAAGTGAACTTATTTTGTGTTTATCTCAGTTACCCGGGCGCACGGACAACGAGATAAAGAACTTCTGGAACACCCGTATGAAGCGGCGCCAACGTGCGGGCCTTCCCATCTACCCTCCCGACATCTCACTCCAATCACTGCCGCCCAATGAAAAACCGGACGACCCAAACTCCATCTCACCCCCAGACGGACCCCACCAGCCCGCGGTCACTTCTTTCATCAACATCCCTTCCATCGAGTTCAAAGGCCTGCAGCTCAACCAGCAGCAACAGTACCTTTACCCCCCTCAGCCTCTCCTCGACCAGTATAATAATAATAATAGCATTCACGCTAAGCCTTTCGCCACGTCATTCCACCAGTCAAAGCGCCCTCGGGGGCCCGAACCCTTGTACCACCAGTCTTTTGTTTTTCCCCAGTACCAACACATGAACTCGTACTCGGCTCTTCATAATGTCGAGCTCCCTTCACTCCAAAGCGACGACCCCCACATGCCTTTTTTCGAGCGTGGGCCCGCGTGCAGCAGCGGAGGCCTCCTAGAGGATGTTTTGTACGGGTCGTCAGAGGCTCCGAGGAGCACGGGCAATGATAATAATAATGATGCCTTCTTCAGTGAGACGTGTCACTGGGAAGGGTACGAAGACCATCTTTCCCCGTCATCTGTATTCAGTGAGAGTCGACCCATCACTCCCACTTCTCTGGATTACACCCATTTGTCGGAGAACGACTTGCCAGGTAGAGTTTTTTGTAAGGTTAATTAATATTGTCTCAAGGACTTATTTTGTAATTAGGCTAAATATTAATGAACCATTTGTCGACTCCATACAAAAATATTTCAGAATACAACGTCACTTGACACGATTTTAGAATACTATTGATGGGATTCCTGACTCGTGGTGGGAGCTCTGTGATCTCGGAAAAAGTTGCATTTTTCGTAATGTTGTCAAATCTCAGGGGTGGTTTTGCAATTATCCTTAATTTGCTTCACAAAATCTTAATTACTCTTGTGTTATGATGTTAAGTTAAAAAGGCTGGAAGCAACTTGGACGCAATCCCATGCGAGGCCAAAACGGCAAGCCCAATGATCTTCTCGAGGCCCGATTACTTACTCGCCTCAAGCTGTCTGGGCCCGATGAAATGTCCCACGACTAACGAGCATTCCTTGCTGGAAAATGCAATGGGGAAACTTCTTGGCGACGATTGAGTGAAGACTGCAAGTAAATGGACTCAGGCCCGAGTTCGTCAGCCCAAGGGTGTGGGTGTAATTCTTCCACGTGGAACCTATGCCTACTGTAGTTGCTTTTTATTGTCAGTCTTTGGAAGAAGAGGAAAAAGAATGTTTGAATGTTTGGTGGGCTTTCCTTTTCCTTTTTCTTCTTTGTTTTATGTCTCTTTTATGATGTTACCTGTGGTGTGAAGTAAGCTTTGTAGGGTGGACGTAGTTGCATTGCTCAGGAACATCCCTGTGATGTTTAGAGGCGTTTTACCTCCTTTTCCCCCCCTTTTGATCTTTCTTTTTTTTTTTTTCAACATTTTTCTGAAAGCCCGATTTTTTATTTTTTGTTTTTACAGATTTCTGTGACTCTTCTTCTGAGAGTTGTATGCGGAACATTGTGCTCCTGCTCTTGATGGGCATTTGACTCTGAATTTTAGTGTTGTGGGTGGTTGACAGATATGATTAACTAAGATTTGTGGGCTAAACCATTAGGCAATTCTGATTTTTTTCGATACGTGTGTAATTTGATGTTTATTTCGATAATATCGTATTATATTTTAACAAGTCTTTTTCTTTGATATACATCTAATAACAAAACTATAATATAATATAACATTTTAACAAGTCCTTTTCTTTGATATACATCTAATACGAAACTAAAATATAGTGATTGAGTAGAGAAATTGTCATTCTCAGTGTCTTAATAATTTTTGTTTTAAAAGAAAAGATATTATTCCTTTACAATAATAAATACTACCTCAGTGACGCATAATTTTTGTACGCTTCTGCTTAAACAAAAGTCTTCTCTAAGTCAACCACGATTCAGTCCTGAGACTGTCTTGTAAAATGGTTTACGTATGTTGTAGTTACTGTGGGCAATTCTGTCTACTTTATTTAGAATTCTGATTAGCATAATCTTTTTTTGTTCAGATTAGTTTCCCTCATTCTTATTGGAATAATTTACACTATCTCTTTTGTAATCAGGAAGAGCCACAGCATCACTATTTCGGTTTTCGACAATGAGATCCCTCGCTTTCTTGGAACATATTTTACTTTTTGTTCTTATTTTTCAGATTAAGACAAAAACAGTTCTTTATCCTGATTTTTTTCCCCGAAAGAAACGTAAAAAACAATAACATTGAAAACATATATGTTTTCATCCAATTTTCGCAAGCTGCAAGAATCCCACAACAAAGACTGGAGACTATTTATACCATCAAAAAATAGTAACCCTGCCACACTTCCAAGTTCGAAGTCTCCAGTCGCCATTTAGCCTGNGGAAAATAAACTGGAAATAGAATCACAATGGAACACCAACATTGATACTGCAAGCCAAAGATATTACCTCCAGATCCAGAAAATTAAGTATATTATGTACCTCCGCAATTACATATAATTTTTCCATTTTCACATCCTCTTCATACACCGTTTTTTTTATTATAACATTAGAAGTCAATACATACACACATCACCATCCCGCAGCAGACACAGTCGACCACCATATCCATGAGCCAATCAAGAAAAGTGGAAAAAGATGTCCAACTTCAGCACTTTCGAGTTTCGACTCCCCATAAAAAAACACAACTCTTCAATCGAGATGAGCATCACTGCTGCCAGTTGTACTGCTGGTTTCGATTTCCCATATTCGAACCACGACCACCTCCAGAACTCCCATATGGCCCACCATGCGGGTAGTTCGGGCCTCCTCTAGGGACCGCACCAGGCATGCCGCTTGAACCATATGGTGGAGCCCGTCCCTGAGGCGGGTACGGGCCCGAAGGCCCGTTCCCGTAGCCACTGCCACCCTGGCCACGGTTTGGGTGGTTGTAGCCCCCAGAGGTATTATTGCCACCTGGCGGATACCTTCCAGGGCCCGCCGAGGGCCCGCGTGGCTTTCCGTAGTGGTGGGTGGGTACCCCCGCCACCTGAGGCTGAGAGCCATGTGGGGGATGATTTGGGCCGGGCCGTAAATGGGCGTGCCCGTGGCCCGATTGCTGGATGGGCGGGACCCGCGAGTGATGTTGCTGGTGCTGCAGCTTCTGGCGTTTCGTGTTCTCTTCATGCTGGCGCTGCTGTTGTCGTTTNAAGGAAATTGTTTAGAGATAATTAAACCTCTTGGGGTCACAAGGTAATGGGTCAGTCCAGAAGTACTCGGCGTCGAGAGCATCCTTGGCTGATATTCTCTTTATTCATAACATTATTCATAACAAACAATTTTAAAAAGATTAAAATAAGTTGAAGACATTTTGAAGAGATTTGAAGGCATTTTACAAAATTACTTGAGAAGATACCTGAGATGGATCAAGGGTCAGCATACGATCAAGTAAATCCAAAGCGTGGCGGTCAAAGCTAATAGCAGAATAATTCACATGTCAGATGTATTCACAGTTGGAAGATCTTTAAACATTTAAAAAATGTTAGCACATTCAATTGCTTACTGTCTGAAATGCTCTCTAAGGCGCCTTTTCACAAGTCTTGTAGGCTTGAAATTGTTATACCATGGAATCTTAGAGACTCCAGGCCAGATATCCTCATTTGGAGTCCCACAGATGTCGAAAATTTTGTTTAGTTGTTCGGGCTGCAAAAGAGCAAAATATCAGTGTTGAAAATAAATCACCTACAAAATGATAGATGATACACATATGTGAGGAAAGTGAATCAAAGATCCTGAACAAATAACCCTCTTTAAAAGCTTATCCATTCATACGCATATTTGAATCAACAGATCAACAAATTTTATGATTCACTATAATGTAAATGGACTTACCTCATCTTTCCCAGGAAAGACCGGCTTTCCATTAAGAAGTTCAGCAAAGATGCAACCAACCGACCACATATCAACAGCAGGACCATATTTCGTGGTCCCAAGCAGCAATTCTGGTGGCCTACAAAATTGATTGTCAGCAGATAACTCAACTTAAATTATTGCACACATTTGGTGGGCAGATGCCCGTGGAAGCCTACCTGTACCATAAAGTAATCACACGATTTGTAAGATTAGCATTCTGATCACTCGAGAACGACCGAGCTAGACCAAAATCTGCAAGCTTCAGGTTCCCTTCATTATCAATCAGAAGATTTGAACCTGCAACAAAAGAACCAAAAAAAAAATAAAAAAAAATATGACTAGCCTCATAAGTGGAGAACAATGCAATTCAAATAATAGCTTTAAAATGTAGACCTTTGATGTCACGGTGAAGCACTTGATTTACATGACAGTAGTGCAGCCCTGTCAATAGCTGTCTCATGTAGCACTAGAAGAAGAGAGAAATTGTGAAATCATTTATCTGATTATCACTTTCATTTTCCAGCAGAATCATCTAATATCAGATATATTAAATTAAATATCTTTTGGACTCTTTAAGCCCATAGCAATACCTTAATTTGAGGCACAGAGAATCTCATTCCAGGGCGATCAGCAAGACCGGTTAAATCATGGTCCATGTATTCAAAGACCATGTAAATTCCACCTCTGTACTTGTTACCATCTAGAAGAGCAACAAATGCAAATTTGAAAGCTATGAGCTTTAGGTAGTGTTAAAAAAATGTTCAAGAGTTCTCATCTAGCCGGTTAGTATTAAATGTTGAATTCAAAACAAGAATGTAGCTTTATAACAAAAACAAAATGTAAACAGTTTACCAGACGCCCCTTGCTCATCCTTCTCCGGACCTGGATATTCACATGCAACGATTGAAACACAAGAAACGGGTCAAGTGTATGATAGAGAATAAGCTGATGCACAAAACTATAAACCAAAACCGGGTAAGATTACCAGTGGATGTGACAATCTCTTTCAACTTGATGACATTCTCATGATGAAGCTTCTTTAATATCTTAATTTCACGAATAGCTGTAATAGGGAACTGCAAAACAGGAGGATTAAAATTAATCCTAGATGGGGATATAGCTTCTGGTGGTGCAGAACAACAAGAAACCAGAGATCATTGGGGAAAAGAGTGTAAAAAGGCATACTCCTTCTCTTTCATTGTCCATCCGTATCTTCTTCAGAGCAACAATTTCCCCCGTTTTGATTTCTCTAGCCATGTAAACCTGTCTGCAAACACAAAAATCCTAGCTCGGGTTTAAAGATCAGTGTGAGCGTAGGAGCTCAAGTTTTCAAAATCGTTAAAACCAAGAGAGACAAAAGGAAGATACTTCCATTCCAAAATGGTTCCCAGCATTTTTCATTCTCATTCAGCTATGAGAAATAAACCCTAGGCGCGGATTAGTGAATTTTAGCAAATAGAATTAAGTACCCGTAAGTTCCTTCACCAATCTGCTCTAATTTCTCGAAACAATCGACGCTCCGAGAACCCCACACCGGCACCTCAGTGACGTTCAGCTGCTCCGGCACCACCATCGCCATTCCTTCTCAGCTGCACCTCTTCTTCGAACGTTTTCTCTTGATTATTTAGCCAGATAGATCAAATCAGGACACGGAACGAATCTTAGTTGTTGTGCGCGATTGGGACAATTTATGAGAAAATTGGGATTTTAGGGTTTTACAGTGTAGGAAAACCGCAACTGGACAAGGCGGTGACCTCCGCCCCACGAGAGGAGCTGAATGTTACGACGGAAAGTATCTACTGTTTGTTAATACGAAGAAACTTTAATTAGGGCAATGGTTCAAACTCCAAAAGTGACGACATGACCACTTAACCGGAACCGTCAAGGAACCGGGGGTTCAGAACTGGCCCGTCGATTTCGGCTCAGTTTGGGCCGAATCGGCGATTCTTTCTTTTAAGAAAAATGGAGAAGAGAGGGGTAAAATGAAATTGGACTTAGGTTTAGTTACATTTTATAAGTTAAAAGGGCCAGTAGCAAAAGAGCGAAGCAGACTCGACTTAACTTCCCTATCAGTTAAGTTGAAATATTACGTCAAAAAATGACATTATAACTTATAATATGTCAATTAAGTTGTATACGCATCTCTTATTTCGTAATTATCTTATCTTACTCATCTTTGAAAGAAGATAATATGATTTGTTAAACGATCAAGTAATGGTAGTCGTCGCCTTCTGTATTTTTGTTGGTTCCACTTGTACTAGTAAAATCATTCAATTCTCCGTCATCCTCTTCGGTAGTTAGCATGGCCATTTGTGCCATTTGTTCGGCCTTCTTCCAATCAATCTGCAACATTTGAGCCTCCAAGTTTTGTAGCATCAACCACGACCGTCGTACGTCCAACGTATATGCTTGTTCAACCACAAGTTGAGGCCGAGACAACAAAAATCTTCTTGGCCATCAAGCATAGAACATGATAAGTGATCTTCATTTTTTACCACCAATCTAGGACATCGAATGTGAGTGGTGAAATTGGTGGTCTGGTAATCACAAGTTGAGATCCGACGTCAAGCAGTGATCGAGTTTATCATATCAGTCTCCATATTCCTTGCAATCTTAGCATTATTGTAGAAATTATAATTTGAAGCCCAATCATCAAAGTTTGAACCTAGTTCCACGGTTGGTTGGGATAATAAGAATAAGAAGAAGACTAGAAGCATAACAAGAAATTGACATAGGATTTTTTCGTAAGTCCGATTGTTCTTTCCTTAAACAACTCATACAATAACACTTTTACTTGCTCAATGAGCAGCTGTGTGTTAGGTCGTCTAGTGACAAGAATTGCATCAAGGGAAAGTGGGAGTTGGTACATAATTTAATAATAAGTGTGAAGTTGGTCGAGCAAGTAATTTTCACGTAGTAACAGATCTAATAAAGTCACAATTAAAAATGTATCGGGAATGTAAACATAATATTTTAATCATTTGTTTAATATATATTTTACAATTTCACCATGTTTTCAAGAATCGCTAGAAAAAATATCTCTAATTTCACACATTACGGTTACACATTGAAATAATATAAGCTGAGCAGTAGGATTGTAAACAATAGAAAAGTATGTTGGTAGCAGTTTGAAATGTTTCTAAAAAATAAAATTCTATATGATGTGTTGTAGAGATTGTTTACAGTCTCTGTGTCCCAATCCGCCGGGTTGAAGACGTCTCCGAAATGAGTTTCGGAAGGATTATTATGTTAAGCCCTGCTCCGACATAATAATAAAGAATCGAGTGGTTCTAGTTTCGGATAGAGAAGTTGATTAATTATATTGTCAGTAATTAATTATCAACGGATGTTAGATCTTAAACACGGGGAGGTAATTTGAGCAATTAGACTGTAATGATAATTGTAATTCATGCGCTAAATGAGGAGTTCAATAATATTATTATAGTGGCGTTAAATATTATTCCATTAGAGTAGAACTATAACATTAAATATGTTTTGTCTATGATGTTATGTCAATTTTAGTCCTAAATTATTTAAATATTTTTACAATACTTAATGACATATAGTAATAACAAATAAACTAGTATTCAACCTGTGCATTTGTACAGATACAAATTCATAGAAAATAAAATAAGAAAATAAGAAAAACAAAAATACGAAATCATAATTTAATTCAAGAAAAAATGTTAATTAAGAAAAGAATTCTAAATATTATTAAAAAGTATTTTATGTACAACATTTATATTTTATTTACAATATTTTAATATAACGCCATAGAAAATTTGACATCTCTTAATTAGGTAATGCTTTTTAGTTAAATGACATTAGTAACATAATATTGCACCATAACATTTGGATTGAGAAGAAGAAAAAACATATAAAATTAGAATATGGCAACATTCAAATGTGATATATTGATGTTTAAAATATAATTCATTATGAATGATTTATACAATTAGATATATTGTTTTTNTTTACACTATTAGATATATTGTTTTTACTTGTAGGTGGATATATATATATATATTGAAATAGATGACTAGATATTTTTAGTTTTACTTCTTAATTATTTGATTTTGTAATTTTAGAATCTGAATTATTGTGTGAATCATTTTTACGTACTCAAGCATAAAAAAATTTGAATGTATATATAAATAATTATTTTGTTACATTCATTCAACAAATAAGTAAAGTGAAAAGGAAATAGGCATGAATCCTGTCAGATCATATCGAAGAATGAGCATTACATCATTTTGAAATCTGAATTATTGTATAAAACTATTTTTATGTATTCAAAGATAAATGGAATTTGAAAAGGAAATAAGTATGAATTCTTCCATATCAGATCAAATAATGATTGTTACATAATGTGATTGATGGGGAAGAGGTGATAAAAAACATTACACAATTGAGATGAGTTAAAAAAAATTAGAAAAAAATAAATAAATTAAATGTTTTGTAACCGATTTTAGAGGGAAAGTGAAATAATTGTGTTGCTCCTCTAATAAAATTGAATGTTGGTAATTTTGGAGGGATAATAAAATATAATGCAGAAAACCTAATAAAATTGAATGTTGAAAGTTTTGGAGGGATAATAAAATTTAATGCTTTGTTACTCCTTTATATATATATATATATATAGAGAGAGAGAGATTCAATTATATTAACTTTTTTTATTATTTTTCTTACTTTTATACTATCTTATAGTTAAAATAATATGAAATAAAATTATTTTTTTCCAATATCATATATATTTTATCAAGAATTGAACTTTTCACCACTAGGTTTCATAAATATAATGTTAACTAAACCGCGACTTTTTTATATGTTTCCGTCTATTACAAGATTTAAAATTTATACAAGTTGGAAGTTAAAAAAGTATATCGATATTTTTTTATAATTAATATTAATTTAAAAAGGAAAGAAAATTTAAATTAATAATTTACTTTCTTATTCCAATTTTTTAAAAATCTTTATTTATTTGATCCGAACTGTAGAAACTCATACCGTGCCGACAATCTCGAATTTCTGAACCAATTCACCTACGATTTCTAAAAATGAATTTTGATTATTCAGATTTTCAGTTCGGCACGAACCGTTCCATATAACGTGCATACTTCCATCCTCAATTGAAGACACCGAACAACATAAGAAAACTAAAACCATGATAGCATAGGTGGGCTTGCAACCTCCGCATGGGAAGTTCGGTTCTTGAAAGCTACATTTCAGTGAAAAGATTATCTTGGAACCAGGAGTATAAGGAGTGCTGGAATCTGGGTTTACTCAGAACATTCCGCGATTTATCTCCCTGAACCACTATGGGGTTGGGTAATTAGGGTTTCTTTGTTTAACAAGAAAAAAAAATCAATTTCAACTCAAAATCTAATTTAAATTACAATATTATCAACATAATTAAATATTATCAATCAATCATCCTAAAGATCACATTAATCTTAATTCACTATTCATTCATTCACATAATTTTAACTACCTATTACTTTTAATCATCTATCTGCTACTTTTACATAAGATCAATTTTAATCATTTTATTTTGAAATCTAACTAACAACTAACTATACCAACCTTTTTAAAATTAATCATGATTAACAAAAGAAAAAAAAGATATCAATATTTCTATAGACAAACAAACCCTTATTCAATGTTATTATAGCATCCAGGTTGCTGGTAAAACAATTAAAAAATCACCTAGCATTTAATAAAACTAAACCATCATTTAATAAAAATATTTTTGGGTTTCCCTCCAAAAGAAGTGAAATCATACTTTATTTATTATTTTTACCTTCTAATTTTATCCAACAATCTACCATCTATTTTTGCATAATTTTGTGGTATGTAACGGATGCATTAGGATTGCTATTTTTTATTTCTCTATTTTTTTTTTAAAAAAAATCTATCACACTCATGTAATGTTTTCTAATTTGGTTTTTTGTAATGCAACTATTGCATAGTGACATATAATGTTTAAATCATTAAATTTTAATGATTATATGTTTTTTTTAATTTGTTCACATGTAAAAGAAGTAATAATTATATACATACAATAAAAAAATATTTGAAAAACAAACATCATTTAGAATACAGATCCTTGCACCAACACCTTCAAATTATTCCTGCAAAAATGTAAATTGTTGGTTGAATTTAATGAAAAAAAAATGATTTTGATATATTTAATGATTATTAGTGATAAAAAATATGATGATTATAAACATATATTTATAATAAAATGCATATATTTACACTTTTAGGCTATGTTTGTTAGCCAAATAAGCTACCTTATAGCTTATTTGGTTAGCTTATAAGCTTCTATATTCAAATAAGTTTCTTTTGGTAGGATTTTTTTTTTAAAAAGCTCGAGCTTATCCCATAAACTTCTTTGAGTAGCTTTTCAAATGAGCACGTCAAAATTTTCATTTCACCATATTATCAGCTAATTTTACCAAATACTTTTATCATATAAGCTAGCTTTTCAGCTATAAGTTATAAGCTATAAGCTCAATAATCACATAAGCTATAATCTAGCTTATCAGTAAGTTTTACCAAACATAGCCTTAGCTGAAACACAAATCATGCTCAATTAACCCTTATACATCAACCCATATACATAATTTGACTGATTTTTAATAATAAACAAAATGAATCTTTGTTTGAAAATTTAATGGTTCCATAATATAATGCAGCCTAACATTATATGTGTGTGAACATCTAAAAGATATAAATTAACATATATATCGTATTTTAATAAAGTTAATCCCTAAACATCTGTCCATTATCATATCTTTAATAACTTGTATAACTAAAAAACTTATGATTGTATTAACATAACTTTAATATAAAATATTGATATTTACCATATCTTTAATAACTTTTATAACTAAAAAACTTATGATTGTATTAACATAACTTTAATACAAAATATTGATATTTACATCATTACCTGGAACAC